AATGAAGACGAGGAAGCCAGTAACCCTAGTGTGCAGCAGATGCAAGGGGTCAGGGTGAACTTAGAGAACACGGAGTTCACGTAGAGTTACATATTCCCCTCCCCATCCTCACCTTAGTCCTCTGACTTGGATATTATTACATCTCCAAAGATGAAAGAATAGAAGCCCAAAGAAGTTAAGTGACTTGGCCAAGGTCACATAGACTAAATCATCAATTGTGCACGAGCCTGAGTCTGTCCGAGTCTATAGAGCCTATAGTCTTTCTCTTAACTGAACCAGTTACTTCTCAGAAAAAGTATTAAAGTAATACAAAATGCTGAGGCAATTAAGCAAGAAGGAGAAATCCATTCCACTGAGGTTGCCAGTATAGGTATCAGAGAGGGCTTCAAGGAGGAGGTAGCATTTGAGGTCAGCCTTGAAGGAATATGAGTTCAACTGAAAATTCATGAGGAAGAGAATTTCAGGCCAAAGAACCTGGAGGGGTGTGAGGTTAGTGAGCCAGCAGTTAATATGGCATGTTTCTGAAATGCAGGGAATCTGGAGGGATAGGGCAGGAAATTAGCAAAACAACACTGCCTGCAAAAGGCACAATGCACCAGTGGTAGTGTTTTCTGCATAGCAACCAGACAAGTCACTTCCATCCTCTAAGCTCTCCTTCACCGTGAACTCTCCTCTAGCTGTTACCACTAGCTCCCGCCTTCCTCTTGCCAAAATGCTTACCTCTCATCCTTTCTCCCTATGCTAAGTGATTTAATGAGTGTGTGAAAATCAGAAGTCTTTAAAAAAGAATTCAGGCCAGGTGCGGTGGCTCACACCTGTAATCCCAGCACTCGGGGAGGCTGAGGTGGGCAGATCACTTGAGGTCAGGAGTTTGAGACCAGCCTGGCCAACATGGTGAAACCCCATCTCTACTAAAAATACAAAAATTAGCCAGCATGGTGGCAAGTGCCTGTAATCCTACCTACTCCAGAGGCCGAGGCAAGAGAATTGCTTGAACCTGGGAGGCAGAGGCTGCAGTAAGCTGAGATCACACCACTGCTCTCCAGACTGGGTGACAGAGAGAGAGTCCATTTCAAAAAATAAAGTAAAAAAATAAAAATAAAAAGACAAAGAAGAAGAATTCAGTTGAACTTGCACAGCATTTTTTTGTCATCCAGTTTCTCAAAACCATCTGTCTCTAGCCATCTGCAGCAGATACTTCCAAACTCCTGGAGGAGACTTTGGACACTGTGACCTCCTGCTCTTTCCATGAGACACACGTGGTGCCCAGACAACCTGTGAAATCTACCCCAGAGATGAGACTGGGTGTCAGCTTTACAGTTACATAGAACGTATGGATCCAGGCACAAGAGAAAACTTCCATCCTCAGGTCATAACTGAAGGGGGATCCTGTGGGAGGAAGGCACCCAACCACTCTCTTTCATAGACCTTTGCCAAGGTTGAGATCATTCCCACAGAAGGAGGGATTGCTCTAGTGAGGCAAAACACACCTTGTGCTCCAGATGAAAACAGCAAACAGAGGCAGGTGGGGCAGGTGGGTAGACATAAAAAGGCACCACCTCCTGAGAATGATACTGGTCACGAAGGTATAGGGAGGGTAAGAGCAAACGTTACTGTGCTGTTTCCCTGAGAATTCTGGGTCTTTGTACCACCTGGCTCTTAGGAGAAACCCAATAAATAAATAAAAGAACCCTTTGCTTCTTTTATTCACCAGGGTAAGGCTGAGACAATGGCCTGCATATACTGCAGCCTAAGACCAAAATTATTCATCAGCCTGAGTATAAGGTCCTAGAGAAACAGGAGTCTCTAGTGTGGTGTGGGCAGAATGACATTGTAGAGGCTTTCAGTATAAACCAGAGTGAGTGAATTCAGTAAAAAATGTGTAGAAAATGGAAATGAATGAAAGAAGAAAGAATCTAAAGGAAACATGGGTAAGAGGGTAGGTTTGGGGGTTTTGTTTTCCTTTTTTTTTTTTTTGGCAACTGGAGAGATTTGATCATGTTTAGATACTGATGGCAAAGAATCAGTGAGAAAGCAGCTGTGGAAGTGCCAGGAGCAAGGCTGCTGGAGGGAGGGAACCCCTGAGGTGGTGGGAGAGCAGTGGAAGGTGTGCGCTCATGCAGGGGAAGGGAAGGAAAGTCCATGCCACATTGCAATGACAGAAGCATGTGAGGATGGATGAAGGCAAGTGTCAGGGAGACCGAACAGTTGAGCAAGTTCTCATCCGATATCTTCCACTTTCCCAGGTGCGTCAGGGGGCACAGGGTAAATGAGGAAGGCTTGAAGTAAATACAGTGGCAAATGAAAGAGCGATGGCCGAGACTCACAGAATAATGGTTGCCCTCAGCTGAGGCTGGAGATCATGGACTGGTAGCAGCTGCCACCCAAATATCGCATGATTTCCTCCAGCCGTGCTCAGCAGGCCAGGGTAGGGGGAGGAAAAGGAGATGCAGATTGACCAAGATTGACTTTTAGGTGGATGGGCAGGGGAGGCGTTAGTGGGCAAGAGTGCTGAAGACATTGGCAAGGGAACGTTGAAATATCCTCACTCATTCAACACATGTTTACTGAGCGCCTGATACATGCAGAGCTTTAGCCTAAGCAGTGGAGACACAGAGGTGAGCCACACAGGCAGGGACTGTTCAAGAAACAAGAAGATAAACAAGAAAATCAGAATTCTGGTTGTTGAGTAGGGGCCATGACCAGACATGGCGTGACAAGGAAGAGCCTGCTGTATTTGGGGTCATTCAGGAAGATCTCTCTAAAAAGGCTGAAGTGATCGCCCCAAAGGTACAGGCAGGGTGGGGGAAAAAGGGGAAGACCCTAGAGGCTGGTAGGTAAGGAGGCTGACAGTCTTAGAGGGGGGACACTGAAAAGCTGAGGCCAGAGTGGTACATTCATCGCACAGTCAACTGTTGAGCTGTTCCTGGACCTTTGGTTGAAAGGCTGATGCTGGGGCTTGGTACATTTTCTCTGCTTTTCAGAATTGCAACTAAGGCCCAGAGCTCAGCCTAAAAGTCCTAAGAGCCCAACATTTTAAATTCAGAAAACTTCCAGTTACTGGACAGCTCCCTCCCCATAAGACTTGCTGAGACATGTCCCTGTCGAGAGGAGAATAACAGCACAGAGAGGCCAGCAACCCTGACAGCTGCTGGCTATGAGGCAGGACACGTCTATCCTGTCACCTTCACTGAGGTTCCACTCGTCCTTGTCCCATGGAGAGAAGACTCAGGAGAAAGAACCACAGCTCTCCTCCATTCTAAATGGGTACCAGCCTCATGGGCTGGCCTGTGCCAGGTACCAAGGAATCCTTAAGATGGTAGACAGAAGTTTAGAAGAGATAGGACTGGAGTGAGCCTATTCTGATACCTGACAGTGTGCAGTTATGAGAGTCACACTGAGAAGGGGCGGAGGAAGTCCACTCTTGAGTGGTAACACTTTGAGAGAGCTGCTACTTCAGGTCTCTAGCCCAACACGTCTGGATGCCACAAGAACTTGTTTTATGGCTTGAAGACAAAGTGGCAGAAGAAGTATGAACTGGTTACCTTGTTCATCATTCAACATGGGTTTTTTTTTTTGGCACAGAGGATGTACTCAGCTGAGGAACTCCGCGGCACACAGATCCTCACCTTCCAGGCACTTAATGGAGGAGAGAGATGCTAACACACCGAAGGACTCAATAATTCTGGTCCTGACATGTGCACAGCATCAGGATTGAGAGTGGTACTGGGGACAGGGAGAGGAAGGAACTCTTGTAGTTAAAGTGACCAGGGAGGGCTCTCTGGAGGGTTGGCATTTGGCTGGGAACTGGATGGAGTGAGGGGCGAGCACTTTGGATGACTGGAAGAGGAGCTTTCTCTGGAGGAGGATGCTATGGGGAAGGAATCAGCTTGGTAGAGTTGGGGGTGGCTGGCGTAGCCTGAGCAGGATGGACATGGTAAAAGTGAGGGCAGAGAGTGACCTACCCCAGAGACCTTTCCAGACACAGTAAGGCCTTGGAGTTCAGTCTTAAGGTGAAGAAAAATCCGTAGAGGGTTTTGAGTGGGGGTGTGACACAATGCGATACATTTTTAAGTCATTCTTCTGGGTGCCATGGAAGACAGAGGATGGCATATGGGGCAAAAGCAGAAAGAGGAGGGTGATCCCCAAGGCTGCAGCAGCGCAGGTCGAGGACTGAGGAGCCTGGAAGCAGGAAGACCGAAGAAGCAGTCAGATCAGGGATAGACTGGGATGGTGGGTCCTGCCATGTCCCAGTCTATTGAGGTAGGAAAGAAGGCAAGATCCCAGGATGGAGGGTGAGTCACACACGCTTGAGACAAAGAGACCGCAGCAGGTCCAGGGGCTCCCTGAAAGAAAGGAAGTGACCAGGAAACATGGTGAATGAGTAAAGACCCGCAAGGGACTCCGTAAGAAGGACCCCAGCCCAAATGAGAGCATTCACTGGAGAGCAAAGGTTTCAGTGAGAGCCAAGAAATGGTGAAACTTTCTGTAACTAGGTTACGGAAAGAGTGCGTGAAATTGTTTGCAACTAACAGAGCACAGTGGAAAAGTTCAGAACAACAACAATCACATCAGGTCCAGAGAGAAGGAAGCACATGGCCACATGAAAAGGACAGTGACCAGAGGACCTCGTCCAGTTTGTGTGAAAGGCGTGGATGAGTCATGGGGGAAAAATGACCTAGAAATGTCCACAGATCTGGACTCTGAAGTCTCTGATGGATTGGAGGACTTGGGCGTCTCTGGAAGAAGCCGGCTGCTCCTGGAAATCCTACACCAGGTGGGCTGGCAACAGGATGAGTTTGTTCTCAGGAGCTACCCTGGGAGCTGGAAATGATATTAGCTCCAGATGGATGGGAGGCCTTTCTGGATGGAATCCTTCACAGCTTGTCTTAACTGTGACTCCAGGGGAATACATGGAAAATGGCATTGTGGATTCTAAAATAACTCCAAGTGAGATCACTGCCTGTACTTTCTGTTTCCTTTCCACAACCCTCACTCACTTTTCAGCCCACAGAGATCTGATTTCTGCTCACTCCACTTCGCCGAAACAGCCCTTGCCAAGTTCTCTAGTGGTCTCCATATTACTTGAGCCAACTGACTTTTTCAGCCCTCATCTTCCCCAACAACTCAGCCCTGTTGACCACACCCTCCTTTGTGAAACACTTTCTTCCTTTGATTTCTGTAGTGATGTCACCCTCTCCTAATTGTGCTCCTGCCCCCAGCTACTCATCAAAATCCTCATTTACGTAGCCTATAAGTGTTGGGGTGCTTTAATACTTGAAGGAGGCCCTCTACTCTTCTCACTCTTCTCACTTAATAACCTTTCTCTGGGGCATCTCAATCAGATCTGTGGCCTCAAGCACTTAACATAACAGAGGCGTGTAAAAAGTGCTTGCAGGGGTGTTCGGCTGAGTGCATGACTATGGCATGTGAAAAGTAGCTGGAGTTGGGGTCATTGTTATTCCATGGAAAATGTAACCTTGGGATGGATAATGTGGCCCAAACTTGAACTTTGAAAGGCTATTCACTGGATTGGAAGACCAATAGGTACCAATAAGTTAAAAGTAATCACTCTTTATCCTTCGTCAAAACTACCATTATTCTACAAGGTAAGTGCTTGTCCATTATACATTACAAGCTCTGTGTCTATTGCCTATGCATTAACTATGTATTAGCATTTCCTACATCCCATCCATTCCCTTTCTCCAAAACATGCATGTCTACCTTTTACTGAGCGTTCCGCCAGACTTTTCCATCCTCAGTAACGTTTACTGAGGATCTACAGTGATGTTTAGAGCACTATAAACCATCTCTATCCTCAAATATCTTGATTGGGTATTACAATAACCCTGTCATTTATTGTTGTCAGCTTTTCCATAAGCATCAATTAGAAAAGGCATGAAGGGACCATATGTTGATCAATTACTTTATCAAGGAAACAAGTGTGGAAGCATCACTTACAAATAATCAACAATCACTGCATGCAACTAAAAGGAGTAGGAAGGATGGAAGGAAGGATGGATGGATGGATGGATGGATGGACGGACGGACGGACGGAATGAGGTGGAGTCTCGCTCTGTTGCACAGGATGGAGTGCAGTGGCAGTATCTCGGCTCACTTCAACCCGTGTCTCCTGGGTTCAAGCGATTCTCCTGCCTCAGCCTCCCAAGAGACTGGGATCACAGGTGCACACCACAACACCTGGCTAATTGTCTTATTTGTAGAGATGGGATTTCACCATGTTGGCCAGGCTGTTCTCAGACTCCTCATCTCAAGTGGTCTACCCGCCTTAGCCTCCCAAAGTGCTGGGATTACAGATGTGAGCCACCACATCCAGCCTGTTTTATTTTTATTTTTGATCCACCATATAGCCAACTCTCATGTATACACAAAACAGCGATCTGTGGTGCATCTCATGGCAACCATGCTGTTCAGCCTATTGATCTTCTTTAATGAACTACCTGCTTTGCTGACATCTGCACTCTGCAATTTCAGAGTTGATTGCACATTTCCCTCATAGCCCACCTCCTCATTTCCATTAATTTTACATACTATCTGCAGAGACAATCCTCTGTAAAGGAGGTAACACTCACCTTGGAATCAGAAGTCCTGGGTCCAAGGTCTGACTTGTAATTCATTCAGTCACTCATGAATCTCATTTTCTACATCTCTATATCTGCCAATAATCCTACGCCCTCGCCATACCTCACAAAATAGGCAGGGTGGTAAGAGTCATCACTTATTAGAAGAAGCTTTAGAAATCCCAGTATTTCACCATTGTCCTTGATCAATGGAAAGTTTAAGAGAGTCAGAGTCATCTATTCTCAGTAGCACAGACTGCAGGGAACTGCCTCACAGAAGCCCCTATTGATTGATAACATTAATTTATTACAGTTGGTGTGCAGAATAGTAGACATGCCTAGTTTCAGGTCTCAACCTGAAGACATGTTTCACCCAATTAGATCTTCAGAATTACCCTGTGAGGTAAGCAGGGAAGGTGCTATTGTTTTTAGTTTGCAGATGAGGAGAGGCTCAAAGTTTAGCAAACTCAACAAGATCACACAGCTAGAAAAGGGGCTCAAACTGGAGCTCAATTTTTCAAGCTTTCTAATCCCTAGTTCTTCACCTTCCAACACCTCTAACCGGAAAGGAGAAAGCAGTGCTTAAGTCCCTTTTCAGTGCAAAGAATGAAAATTTGCTAACCAGAGAGAGTTAATGAATAGAAAGATTTATTTCTCCTCTATTCTGTGACTCACAGAGAGTCAGGCAGAAATTTATTTAGAACAATCAGGAAAAGACTCAATAAGCTTCATCTACACAATAAAAATAATATACTTAGCATTCTCATGTAACTTCACATTTTGTAGTTATTGTCAATAAATAATTAGAAATTTATCTCATAGATAAATGGATGGCTAGTATAATTATTTTACAACATGAAACACCTAGACAGGCTTCCTTTTTATTGGGTAGAGATGATTTAATAATCAATTTAACAATACCACTTTAAATGTGCAGAGTTCCGAGCCTCGTTGTCATGAAATGCATCCTGGAAATTCTGGGCATTTGATTTATGATAAGCTTCAATAAATTGCCCTAATTAGATGGTTCTCATAACTAGAGGTCATGCATACAGGCTGAAGCTTAGTTGTAAACAGAGACTACAAAGTGTGTTCTAGCCATTTCCAGCTTGAGACAAAGGAAACGCCTCTTATCATAATCAAACGCTGACAAGTCCCTTTGACCTAGTGAAGTGAAATACAGTGAAATGGACCCCAGTTTAAATTCTTCTCAAGTTTTCAGGGAGAGAAAGCAGATCCCAAGCAGCCCATTGGAGGAATGTGTCTGCATGCATAAGACATTAGGCATGACTCGATGTTTGCAAAGGGAAGGATGGGTTTGAGGCAAGAGGGTTTTGTATGTGCAAAGTGGTACAGGCCAAAAGAGCCACACATGTAAGTTCATTACATACAGCTTGCCAGATCTTTGCTTGGCTGCAACTAGCTGATTTTTTATGAATGTTAAGTTCATGGGCAAATGAATAGACAATCCAAACCTACCTTTTTAATTACAAAATGCTTTTTCCTCCCCCATAATCAGACTTCTACTCATTTCAGCCCTGAAAAAAAAATGTGATCATCATAATTCCTAGTAGCTTGCTTCTGTTTCCGCTTCAATAGATACCCTGTAGACGGGAAGTCACATAACAGCTCCATGTCCTATCAAGTTGCTTCCACCCGAAAACAGCTGCAGTGCTTATCTAATTAAACCCCAGCACCAAACTGTGAGCTTCTGCATCAATCATTAATATTGTATTTTGGATCATTTTAAATTCGGACTGGGGTAGGTGGCTCCCGCACACTGGTCTCTGAAGGAGATTTTTCAAATAATCTTTAAGCGGCATTGAAAAAATAAAACAAGCTGCCTGCTGTTTGAGGAGAGCTCTACTATCCCGCTGCACCCTGACTAGCTGTGAACACTAATTGAGAGATGAATACTGCTTATTCCAAAAATGCTAAAGATGTGTTTTTTTAATCATGAAAAGGAAAACGCAGTTCTCCTCACCTCAAAAATGTATCTGTGGCTCCTTGCCCAAATTCTAAAAAGCGCCAAAAGGATGGTGGTTTCTGAGTCTCTTGTCTAGTTTGCAGAGTTCTTTTCTCTGGGTGGCCCTCCACAGTCAGTGAACTGTGACCTCCATGCGGGATTTGCACATGCGTGCCCTACATCTGGAATGCAGAAACACCCTTCACAGAACTCCGATGGCCCAGAAATATTTATGTAAATCTGTCCTGGTAAGGCACATGTTGATGTACTTGGGTTTAAGCTCATAAACCAAGAGGAATCGTTTCCTACATCCCTCTTCTAATGACTAAAGCCAACGGGCTGAGCCAAATGAGACAATTTAGACAAAGAGAGACTGGCGAAAACCAAATGAATGTCTGCTTCCTTCTAGCATTCTAGGAAAAACACCAAGCGGCTGTGCCAGAGTGCACTGCTTGTCTTTGTTAGGGAAATACACTCAAAATCAGGGGAATCAGTCAGTACTAGGTTCAGGAAAGATGGATGCAAGAGGGACTCCCTGATTAGGAAAAATCCACTACAGAAACATGGCATGCACTCAGCGCAGCATAAACAGCTTAAAAATCACAAGGAACGAGGACCAAGTGCAGAATCCCTAGGTTCTCACACTCGTTCCCATAGCCAAGATTGGCCAAGACTTAGCTAGGATACCACCTGGCACTCAGCCACATCAGCTAAAGAGCTGAGGAACCTGAGAGGAAACAAATGTGAGGAAGAGGATGATGCAAGAGGACCAGAAATACAAGGAAAAGACAGAGGCCCTAGGGTGGTTCACTGCAGAGAAGATAGGCTGAAAGATTTGGGAACTGTCTGAAAGTCCACATGCCAGAGGCTCCTGAAGGTGGAATCAGAGCTCTCTCCTGCTAATATTGTATCCGCAGCCTCACATCTACCCTCAGACCTGGATTTTGTTACAGATTTATAAACATTTGATTTTGTTATATATTTATACACATTTGGCATAATGAGGGCAATATCAAACATGTATAAATCTATAACAAATTCCTGCTACCCCTGTGTTTCCTAGAATCAAGGCACACCCCTCCCATGGCCTCTCCCTCTGCCATCACATTCTAAGCATAGATCCAGCCCTAGGGAGCTATAAAACCTTGAGTGTATCGATCAAACTCTCCAAGTCTCGTTTTCCTCATCTGTAAAGTGAAAATAGTGGAATACATTTAGGTACAATTTACATTTTTAGCACTTCCTACATATCAAGTTAAATTGTGTTGTTTCCTTGTTTGGTTGTTCATTTGTTTGTTTTGAGACAGAGTCTCACTCTGTTGCCCAGGCTGGAGTGCAGTGGCGCAATCTCGGTTCACTGCAACTTCCACCACCTGGGTTGAAGTGATTCTCCTGCCTCAGCCTCCCAAGTAGCTGAGATTACAGGTGTATGCCACCACACCTGACTGATTTTTGTATTTTAGTATACCTGAGGTTTTACCATGTTGACTAAGCTGGTCTTGAACTCCTGAACTCAAGTAATTCTTCCCCCTCAGCCTCCCAAAGTGCTGGGATTACAGGTGTGAGCCACTGTGCCCAGCCAAATATGTTTTGATATATATTATCCTTGTCCTAAAGCATGATATGGAAAATGTTATTTCCATTACACAGATGAGAAAATGTAGGCCACAATACTTTCCCAACACTCCCAAAGTCATCCAGCAAGAAGTACGAGAATCAAAATCATCTGATCCTTGCCAAAAAAAAGAAAGAAAAAACATAAAAGTGGAACGATAATAGAGAGATACAGAGAGAATCCAGAGGTAACTACAAGAGGAAGAAACCTAAATCTAATTTGTCTCACTTGGAATTAAGGACAATTGGTAAAATTTAGCACTAAAGACTATAATATGCTTGAAATTTAATAGACTTGGGAGCTGTAATAAGAACAGCCTTTTTTTGCAAGTGTTTATTTTCTCATAAACAGGAATCAAGAAATTTGCCTCTGGGCAGTTTTTCCCCACAACTAATAATTGAAAATGCGAAGTTAGCAAACAATTCCTTTACAGCAAACATTGCTCTTTTATTCAGTTGTTCATGAAAGAGAAACCTATTGATTCCCATCTATGTGCCAGGCATTGTGCACTCCATTCGCCAGGCATGCAGTTTAGAGCCAGACAGTCTGGTATCTGAGCTTTTAAGGCCAAGAATCAAATGTTGATGTCTGGCATGTTCTAATTAATTAAACCATTTTTACGCAGTAATTGCAAGGTCTCAGAATACAGTGCATTTGGTGACAAGCTGACTGAACTCAAAGAGAAGCTGCTGTGGGATTTCTGCAAGACCAGAGTCTTAGGGGAAATGATTCCCAAGTCTAACTTGTTCACTCTTGGGATGCCGGGCATCAAACACGGTGTCTGGTCCACAACAGGTAGTTGGTTCTTCCTATGTGCCATGCATTTGATTCTCTTTAAAAATAGAGGTACCAAGCACCCCTTCCTTCCCTGAAGATGCTCATCCTGTTGGTGGAGATGAGACCATGATGAGATTTGTTTGTATGTCACCATGGGATATTCTTTTTTTTTTTTTTTTTTAAGTTGGAGTCTCACTCTGTAGCCAGGCTGAAGTAAAACAGCATAATCTCAGCTCACTGCAACCTCTGCCTCCTGGGTTCAAGCAATTCTTCTGCCTCAGCCTCCCAAGTAGCTAGGATTACAGGCACCCACCACCATGCCTGGATAATTTTTGTAATTTTAGTAGAGATGGGGTTTCACCATGTTAGCCAGGATGGTCTCGATCTCTTGACCTCGTGATCCTCCTGCCTTGGCCTTGCACAGTGCTGGGATTACAGGTGTGAGCCATCACACCCAGTCTGGGTGAGTCTTACACATAGCCAATGACAAGAACCACTCAGTGAAAGCTCTATACATAGTTTTCAATGTATAAAAAATGAATCAGGCCAGGTGTGGTGGTTCACACCTGTGATCCCAGCACTTTGGAAGGCCAAGGTGAGAAGACCACTTGAGTCCAGGAGTTCTAGGCTGCAGTGATCTATGATCTTGCCACTGCACTCCAGCCTGGGTGATACAGTGAGATCCTGTCTCTAAAACAAACAAAAAAGAATGAACTAACATTATTAAAGTAAGTGGATACGGTACTTTTTAAAACTATTTGGCATACTTGGTTATACATTCTAAAGCAAGAAAGGGATGGGGAAAACGCTGGATTAGCATTATGTGTAGGGACAATATATACTAAAATAGGATAAAAATCTTACTAGAAGAGACTTATGGAG